TCCTCCCAGGTTTTGAAGTGCTCTGCCTCTTTCTCCCGCTGCAGCATCTCCAGCTCCTGCTCACGCATGGCCTTCTCCCGCTCCCGCTCCAGGCGCAGCTGCTTCACCTGCCCGGGCGGAGGGAGATGTGAGGCCACTGCGGATGGGGCACCCACGCAGGACACCCGTTCGAGGACGTGGCCGTTACCCTGCCCACTGAGCTGCCTCAGCTCCTGCCATCAGCCCGAGGCTCCCCGGGGAGCCAGGAGCCATGCCGAAGAAGAGCCAGCGTGGGCCCACTGGGCCAGGATGCTCGCTGCCAGCCCTTTGGAGGACAGAGGACACCGGCACAACCGAGTGCCTCAGTGCCATGACCTGGCACTTGTCCTCTTCAGCACCTCTTGAGCTGGACTCAACCCCAAGAGAAGAGTCTTCTCACCCTGGAATAGCAGAAATCAGTAGACTGTGGCCCCCCCGATCCTACATCCTATGGGCACCCCCAGTGAGAAGAACAAGGGGACTTCCAAGCGAGCGACTGGGAGAACTGGGCTGTCCATAGGGTTCTATGTCAGACGGTGGGAGGGAAGGGACATCTGATCCCACCTTCTGCAGCTCCAGGCGATTGTCCTCCTGGATTCGCTTGTTCCTCTCCTTCAGATCCTTCTCATCCAGGTGGCTGATCCCTTTCTTTTCCAGCGCCTGAAATAGAGTGGCCAAGGGGAGCCGTGAAACCCAGCGACTTCTACAGCCCCTCACTGGCCAGCAAATGCCACCACATCCACCTGCTTCTGCTGCTCCAGCGAGCTCTGATCCTGTCGAAGGTCCCCAAATCCCTCAAATCCTACTCCTGAAGCCCCTCAGCGAAACCCAGGCTCAGCCCAGGGAGGCGACCCGACTCGGCAAGCACTAACGCACCAGTAAACACTGCCCAGCACTCAGCCTGCAGCTCCCCGCAGGTCTGGGTCCCTCTCCTGCACCCTGACCCACCTCCCCATCCCTAACCCTTAGCTACAGACTTTGGTCTTCAGGAAAAAGGGGGTAAAACCCCACTGAGCTCGTCAAAAACTCCCAGCTGCTGCCCTAGACGAGCGCTTTGCTCTCACGTGGCTGCTTTTAGTGTTACAGAGGTTCCCACCTCAAGCAAAGGTCCCCCCCGACGCCCCACTGCTCCTCTGTCCTGTTCTGTGGCGGTCGCAGGGGCACGATCTCCTTCGAGCAGCCTCCTACAACACGTGAGTGCGGAGGAGAGCTCACCTTGCTCCAGATGAAGGTCCCCAGCAGGTTGTTGTCCCCAAAGGGATTGTCGGTGTTGGTGTAACCCATGTACTCCTCTCCCCACCCCATCTTCTCCCGCTTCTTCCTCTCCTTAGCCTCCTTCTTGGCCAGCCGACGAGCCCGTTTCTCCTCAGGTGTCTCCAAGGCTTTCATGAGCGCAGCCTGCTTCTTCTTCTCCTCCTTCAGTCTCAAGCGCTCCTGGAGGCTCAGCTGCTGCTGCCCCGTCTCCTCCCTGCCCCGGGAGCGCGGCGGGGAGGGAGAGCTGACAGAGGACACAGAAGACTTGGAGCCATCTCTCTTCCTCCGCCGCTCTCTGCTCCGGGCTCTCCTCTTGTCTCGCTCGCGCTCCGAGCTCGAGCCGGAGGACCGATCCCGGGACCGCGAACGGTGTTTCTTCTGGCTTTTATGGTGTTGGTCCCTGCTTTTGCTTTTCTTCTTCTTCCATTGCTGTCTCTCATCACCAGAGTCAGAGCTGGGGTGGGAGGAAAGTCGTATTTCGGTTGGGAGACGGTTACTGGCTCCGTGTCGGACAACGTGCGCTCCAGAACGGAAAGCGCATTTCCCTGCTGCAGACGCAGGGAGAACCGACCCAGGCCACAGCCAGAGCTCCCAGCAGAGCCGAGAAAGCTCAGGCGCGCTTTCGCGGCGGTACCTGCTCCCCTGTACCACCCCCCTCCCCCCAAGAAAACCCGAAACGGGCCGGTTTTGTGGCACGGACGACACGTTTCAAACCACTCATCGGCCCCGCCGCATTCAGGCCCC